CACAGGGAGCCTGCTTCTCCCTCTGCCTGTGTCTCTGCCTTTCTCTCTGCATCTCTCATGAATAAATAAATATTTTTTTAAGAACACACAAATATATTAAGTATCGAAAATATGAGAAGGAGACAAAGACCTCTTGACATCAGGAAACTGATACTTAGAGTCCAGCTCTGGTGTTGCTAGGACTGCCTTGGAACTCACAGCTGAGCCAGGGTGTTCTCCTGTGGAGAACTATACAAATATAACATTGTGTGTCAACTATACCTCAATAATAAGAAAGGAAAGAAAAGAAAGGAAAGGAAAGAAAGGAAGAAAGAAAGAAAGAAAGAAAGAAAGAAAGAAAGAAAGAAAGAAAGAAAGAAAAAAGAAAAAAAGAAAGAAAGAAAGAAAAAGAAAGAAAGAAAGAAGAAAAGAAAGAAAGAAAAAAAGAAAGAAAGAAAGAAAGAAAGAAAGAAAGAAAGAAAGAAAGAAAGAAAGAAAGAAAGAAAACAGACTTTCAGCAGTGCCTCCCCGGTCTTCATCCCTGAGCTTCTGTTGTTGGCTGTTTTCCAGTCCTGTGGAGTCTCTTGCTGTTCTTCCTGTAAGGACTGACCACTTTGAGCCTCGGTTTCTGTATGGGGATTAAATGAGATAACAAGTGGAGTGCACAGCTATGCACTTGCCAGAATGAGATATGGAACTAATTTGTCCCTCATCTTCTGAATGGACTGACATCTTGGATGCGGGTGCCGCTCCCTGTCTGATTCACCATATGAATCTATGGGGCCGTGTGTGCCTGGGGAGGGCAAGGGTCAATTAAAGTTATGGGATATTTTCTATAAAAAAAAAATGCTGAAATGCAGGTGTGAGGTTGTTCTGAAGGCACACTCTTCATCCAAGTGAGCCAAGGGAGGGAGAGCTCGTCATGGGCTTCCTGAGGAAAGTCAGTGCCACCGCAGAAAAGGCTAGAAACCACATGATACAGAGATGTCTTTTTTTAAATATTCTGATTTTTTTTTTAAATAGAGAATTAACAAATCCTTAATATAAGATCATATCCTGTCCTGGATGAATCTGGGCTTGACTCTTTGGGTGTCCATGGCAACTTCTGCTTTGTTTGTAGGCGCTGGGACCTTATCTGGTAAGAGTATCACTTGAGAGTATCACTTGAGAGTATCACTTGCCCAGTGATCCTGCAGCAGTAAGATACTGTTGAGTTAAGGTCCTTAGGGATTGAGCCCTGGTGTTAATAATGAAGCCCTTCACCGCTGAATCTATTTTATTTTCCTGGGAGTAAGATGTCTGGGATTTTTGGTCACATCCTCAGGTCTGTGTTATTCTCCAGCGATGTCAGGCGATGTGGCCTCCTCCCTCAAGGACTTTCAAATCTACCTGGCTACGGACACTCAGGTTGGTCTACGCTATACATTTTTGGCATTTCCATTGTGAGTAGTGAGTTAAAATAAGAATAAATCCACTTGAAATCTTACCTATGAAAGTGGGCATTTTAGGGCACCCGGGTGGTTCAGTGGTTGAGCATCTGCCTTTGGCTTGCGTCACGATCCTGGGGTCCTGGGTTCGAGTCTCACGTTGGGCTCCCTGCATGGAGTCTGCTTCTCCCTCTGCCTGTGTCTCTGCCTCTCTTTCTCTCTGTGTCTCTCATGAATAAATAAATAAAATCTTCACACACACACACACACACACACACAAAACAATAATAATAATAAAGTGGGCATTTTATTTTATTTTATTTTTTTAATAAATTAATTTTTATTGGTGTTCAATTTACCAACATACAGAATAACATCCAGTGCTCATCCCGTCAAGTGTCCCCCTTAAAGTGGGCATTTTAAAGATCTAGCATTCCTTGAGAATGTTCAGCTCCAGGCCCTGTGCTGAGCCCCCGACGGGCAGTCTCCTGTCCCCCTCACAGCAATCTCGAGAGCCAGGAATTAGGATATTCCCCAGTTTTACAGATGGCAACACTGAGGCCTCGAGAACTTATTTTATTCACAGCTTGGAGTCTTCCTGAGGTCAAGCAGCTCATCAGTGGTAGAGCCAGGATTTACCAGCAGGCCAACCTGGAAGCCACGATGCTCAAACTTTAGGCTATACTTCACAGGATACGTTACTTTGTGTAACAAAATCTCCCCGTAAAGCTCTTTTCTGTAGCACAGGTTTAGTGGTACAATGGGCCAAATCACATCCCCCCACTCAGGCCGTACCCTGCTTTGCAAGTCTAGCTATAAAGCAAGCACCAAGCATCACTCCTTCCAGAAGTGACGTTCCGAATACCTCTGAACGTCAGGTGACAGCCACAAACTCACCGCGCTCAGCATGACTTTCTTTAGGTCCCAGCTTTCTGAGCAGGTGCCAGGCCTGGTTATTACCACTCCCACTGCAAGCCGCGTCCACGCGGCCACTCTGAGAATGCTCCCCCAGGATGCAAGCAAAACACCACCGGCCCCCAGGTATAAACCCCGTGCCAGTTGCCCTCTTGCACCCGCAAGCCTAAAAGAACCAGTGCGACGTGCCAGATGGTTTTGCTCTATGTTGGAGCTCACTGTCACCGCGAGGCCACGTTGGTGGTCATGCGGTGATACTTTGAGCCAACAGGGGCCTCCCCCACTTTTGCTTTACAAAAAAAAGATGGGAAAGATCGTGGCTCTGCTTCTGGGCACAGGGTAGGCCCGTTTCCGAGTGGGCTCCTGAATCAGGACACCGGGCAAGTAGGGCTGCCGTCTGTCATGCACAGGAAATCACCTCCCGGGCACGGGGCATACTAACAAAAAAGGAGGAAACTGGCCAGAGAGAGAGAGACAGACAGACAGACAGACAGACAGAGACAGAGAGAAAGCAGAAAGGAAGTAACTTGGTGGGTGTAATTGCAAACTGGAAAAAGTAAAAATGACTTTGGAGCACACAAGGACCAGGTATGATTTCACCCCCAACTCACGCACCACCCTATTGTACATCCTCTGCTGGTCTAACTTCTTTGGGTTTCTATGTGCTTCTCATCTGCTGGGGAAGATAAGGCTGCGGGGGGGGGGGTGCAGGTGGGAGGCCCCAATGACAGGCCGACTCGGTCCTTCCAGGACAGTTGATGGGGACCTTGGAGGTGGCTGGTGGGCAGGCTCCCACCAGATGGGAGATGATCAAGCCGAACCTGAGAGTTGGGGACAAGACTGGAGAAGCAGGGACTGACATCGAGTCCTTGAAGTGGACTTTAGTGCAGCCCAGTGACTGGGGAGACCCAGGATGAGCTGGAGGCAGCATTATGCGTGGCAGCAGGGTCGAGGCAGAAATGCACCCAGGAAGGCTGATCAGGGGACCGGGAGAAACTGCCCGGGAATCTGGAGGAGTGAGGACACCCACATACACACCCAGGGACATGCACAGCAAGTGCTCAGCCACAGCTGGGGGCGCTCAGGATTCCAGGCAGGACAGGAGACAGCAGATGCCCCAACGCTGACCAACAAAGCACCAGAGCAGGGTGAGGAAGCCTCTGGATGAAACCGTTCCCTGTGAATAGGTAGTCCTGGCTTTTCCCCCATCTGCACCCTGCTCCCCACCAAAGCTCTGGGGCCAGCTGCCTAAAGAAGGATGTCCAAGCCTTCAGGCTGGGTTGTCCTTTCCGCCTCCCTCCACCCACTGACCTACTCCAAGGCCAATTCCAAATGCCAGGTCTTCCGTGAAGCCTGTCCTCCTCGTCTTCACTCACGTTGATTGTACCACTGTGTCATGCCAATTCGCCTTAAATGCTGCTTAATTGACAAAATGGGATTACCGAGATGGGAGGAAGCAGGATAAGAACCGGAAAAATGTGAATGCCAGGTTGAAAGCATAAGATAACAAAATCACTTGACATTTAACTCTGCTCTCCCGTCTCCTAGGACTCCTACAACAGCCCCACAAGGAAGGGAGCACAGGCCATCATTATTAAAAAAAAAAAAAAAAAAAACAACCTGACGCTCAATGCTGTTAAATGATTTATCCGAATCCTGTAACTGTTAACACCAAGAGTTGAAGCTATTCATTCATTCATGTGTGTATTCATTCATTCGTTTGATAAATATTTATTGGTGCCAGGTCCTGTGTCACTGTTCCCAGCACGAGATGGGGGCTGAAGAACACAGCCGTGGATCATACACAGACTTATTCTAGTGAAAGAGACAGGAAATAAGTGAGTGAATGTATGACATGATGTTCCAAAGTCACAGTGCTGTGAAGAAACAGCACGCAGGAAGGAGACCCAGAGGAGGCAGGTTCCCCACTAGATGGAGTAGTCTGACATCCTGGACTCTGAGCCCCCAGCTGAGTCCTCTGTTCCATCCTGCAGACTCATTGCTGACAGAAGGGGACAGTCATGAAATGCGAAGCTCTGTTCTTATCCTGATGCTGCCCAGGGCTTAGGAGGTGTGCATCTGAGCCCCCAGACCCATTCAGCACAAGATCCTCCACCCCTACTCCCATGCTGAGAGTGGGCCTCCTTAAACTCCCACAGAGCTGGACTGCCTTACTTAGCTTCCAGGGCAGGCTATTAGCTTCCTGGAGGCCAGAACCACTCGCACAGTTTCTAGTAAGTGTATGCTGGCTATCAGTTGATTGGTTGATTCGGTTAAACACAGTTGGAAGAACTGAAGACTGATCCCCTTAAAATCTATAGGACTTCTCCAAAATAAGCCTAGCCTCTCCGCCGTTCCCTAAATGCCAGGAGCTCCCCTTCTGCACAAACCCCCTTGGGCAGCCCTGGGCCACACAAGCCCCACTAGAAACCCAGGTCAGTCCAGGCTACAGTAAGTAGTCAGCTGGGTCAGTTTGGGACATTTGTGCCAAGATGGGCCTGTGACACTGCAGGTGGGGAAGGGTGGCAGAGGGGCACAGAGAAGACGGGAGCACAGCAGAGATGGAGACAAGCCCCACATCAGTGGAAAACCATCTGAAGCATTAGTGAGTAATAAAATGACTAGAGTAAGAGACAAAGACAAAATGAGTTCAACTCTCTCCCGTATCCATCTGATTTCCACAAACACCTCAGTCATGTGATGTGTGTGTGGTGTTTTTTTTTTATTTTTTATTTTTATTTTACAGCACCATTGAACAACCTTCACTGTTACAGGTATGCAAATGTGCACACATTACTGGGGCATTTCACATGCAATTAGTAATGAGTTATTTAAACTTTGTATCTTAAAGTTTTAGTAGTTCCCACAAATGTGACAGTTAAACTTTGGCAAAATCGCCTGTGAGGACGGGAGGAAGACTTGAAGCAACAGAACTCCATCATAATACTGTAACATAACTTCAGACCTCCTGGAAGGAAGGGCTCACCCTCCAGAAATCATCGTCCTCCCTGGATTATTCCCACCAGAATCCACAACAGGTTCATCGTCTCTGGCCTGGCTTTGTACCAAGAGGAGACAGTTGATCCATCCAGCAATGTTCAAGAAAGTTCCACGTAAACAAAAAGGTCCAGAATAAAACACTTGAAAAGAGAAGCTCCTGAACATGACACATCGCATTAGCTAACCTCCAAATTCCTAACATTTAGATTACGGTGAGGATTGGGGTCCGAGGCAATTTCCATTGGAGCAGCTTAGTTTCTTGATGCAGTAGTTTCATTCCTACCCACGGCGACTCATGTGCAAACACACTCAGAAGTACAAACAGGTAACAACTTAGCAGGTGAACAGCAGAGCTATAGAAAAGGCATATTCATGATTCAGTCTAAATTCAAAACCTAAATCAGGTCACATTTCCTCATTTTTTTTTTCTAACACAGTCCTTTTCTGCAGTCTTCAATTGCAAGAGTGTAAAGATACATTTAAAAGCGAAAAATGTAAAAAAAAAAAAAAAAAAAAAGCGAGAAATGTCTCTTGACCTCCCGGATAAAAAAACAGGGTACGATTTGGCAAAGGGTTAAGGTAACCACAGACAATTCCAGAATTCGTTTTAGCATCTGAACTTGTCCTTGGCACCAAGATGAGGGGCTTGTCTGGAACCAATAGAAGAAACACCATCATGTTTAAAACTGGTGGAGAATTAAATACTTGAGCCCCAGGAATCAATCCTCCTGGAATCTTTTGCTCTCATTTTTTGGTGAATTCATCAGACTGAGGACATTCATGAGTTGAAGGGGTCACGACATGACAGGACAGTAAAGGCTTTTCATCTCATTCGCTGTTATACTGACTCATCTGCATAATCCGATTTGTAAAGCCTTTGCTGCCCCCACAAAATTATATCATTTCTTTAAATGTCCGAAGTTCCTAAGTAGAGATGACTGTCATTTTGATGAACGGTTTGATCTCTGCTTTAAAAATATTTTTTGAAGAGTGAATTGTGCAGAACTAATTCTATTAAAATGATTACCGGGCTCTGGAGGGACTTTTACCAACAATAATTCTCAACTACTCTTAGGATAAGTCAGTGGCTCAGAACTAGAGGCCAATTTGCCCTCAGAGGACTGGTGGCAATGTCTGGGGACATTTTTGGTTGTCACAACGCATGAGTGTGCATCTAAGTGAGCAGAGGCCAGGGATCCTGCCAAACATCCTACAATGCATGGGACGGCCCCACACAACAAGGAATTAATCCAGTTGAAAATGTCAATAATGCTGAGAAAGCATAACAAAGACTCTTACTACCTACAGGGCAGCTGCCTTATTATAATCCCAAATCCGCCTCAGTGATTTCTTTGATCTTGAAAGCACTCTATCCTACTGAACTTTGGAGTTCCTGATTTACCCCCACTAGGGTTTGGCCAGCTGGTGGCAAATAGGAAAAAAAAGTAACCAATACAGAGAATATTTTTAATTCTTCCTCAAACAATGTCTCCCTATTTTATTGATACTTTAGCAAAAATTAGAGGGACAATATATATATTGTCCCAAATATCATGGGACATTTTGGCCCATGAGACATGGGCCAAATGTCATGAAAAAAAACCCTAATCTCTATTTTCACAACCAAAGTTGATATTTGGAAGATAAAAGCAGACACAGTGCTTCCCAGAGCCTGTGTTGAAATAATGTGGAAAGGACTCTTTCTATCGAGATAGGAGGACAGGGGGCAGCAGCAAGGGCCATCCTCTGTGTCCTCCAGGTTAGGGCTAGGATGGCTGGTCCTGACCCGACACACAGAGGTTGCCCTCGACTTTTAAAAAGTTATTTTCATTTCCTTTAAAAAAGACAGGAAATCAGAGTTAGTAAAGCCTCTGTTCATCAGGCCTACTGCCACCAGGCAAGGCTGACTCAAAGAGGGAAAGAAAAGTCTGCTTTTCCTTGGGAGAATTAAAATGCAGGACAACTAAAGGGAGAGCAAAACCCAAGTAAAGGGATGCATGGGAGGCTCAGCAGTTGAGCATCTACCTTGGATTCAGGGCGTGTTCCTGGGGTCTTGGGATCGGGTCCCACATCAGGCTCCCTGCATGGAGCCTGCTTCTCCCTCTGCCTGTGTGTGTGTCTCTCTCTCTCTCTGTGTATGTCTCTCATGAATAAATAAATAAAATCTTAAAAAAAAAGTAAAAATACCATACCGCAGGCATCACAGCACGAAAGAGGACAAAGGAAACCACCTAACCCCACAGAAAAATATTGCACTTAATTAGCTTGTTGGAACACATTAAACGCACTCAAACTGTCTTCAAAAGGGATTATTTCACATTAGCTCTATGTGAATTAGTGTCCATCAAGCAACTCTTCTGAGGTCAATTTAGTTATACTGGAATTAAGTGCCTTTTCCTTTCCTAAAAAGAAACTTTACAGACTTAAAGAACATTATCTAGATGCAAACTAGCGTGTGTTTCTTTAGCCAGCTGCACAGACACTATAAACTTATCATCTTTCCCTTTTAATAAAAGCAGAACGATGTGAAATCAGATTAGACCTTCAAATTTGGAAGTGAGGGACAGATTTCGTCTTTGGTTCCAGTCAAGACACCTCAACCAACATCTGTCTAGAATTTGGTTCACTCATCACTGGGGTGAACTTCAAAGAGAATCTCCCTTTTTTGTTTTTGCTTTGTTTTTGTGAGTACATGCTATACTTTTAGTATTAAATATAAAAATAAAAATGCTGTCTTATAGTTTACCCCTCACTTGGCCATACAGACTAGTCCAATAAACTCCTAGGACTAAAAATGGGATTTACCTAATTCATGGCAAATTTAAACACAGATTCTAAAATTTCAAGGAATGAAAAAAATTCCCATCCTACTGATCACAGCTGCTTACTTTTTTCAGCCTTAGAGTGAACACAAAGACATTTTTTTAAATGGTATTAGTGCTGCAAAATGTGCGTCCTTTTTCCATTAACAACCCAGCATTTCTGTTGACTATTGTTTAGATTCTAAACAGGACCCAGTGCCTGCAGCCTGAGAGATGATCGTTGTCAATTTTGCAACCCATCAAGGAAGACTCTAGTTCTCTATGAGGGCATCTCCCATTACTCAGACCTATTTTGAGACTGTTCTGATTAAAATTCTGCTGCCTCAACAACTTGTTCGATATGTGACAGGTGGTTCTCCACTACTAATCCATTAGTATGTCGATTATGGATCCAAATAAAATTATAATAAATTTATTTGAAATTGGTAACATGGGTCAGAGTCAGAAAAGGAAGTAAAGGAAATTGGAAGCTCCTCAAAACGCATTAAAAGGCAGCAATTAAATTAATTCTCATTTTTCCCTACACATACACTTCTCCAACAAGTTACTGGTTGGCAACTATAATAAATACTTCAAAATATGTCTAGTGAAAGAAAAGTCAATCTAGCTTATTTTGGGGCAGGAATGAATACTCAGGGCCATATATGCTTCTCTCCTAGGGATACCCATTTTCTCCTGGTAAATGCTACATATATCAATGTGATCATGGAAAAGAAGACCCAAGGGAAATTTGGACAAATAAACTGTTAAGCAATAAATGAGAACGATCCCAACTGGACTGGTTCTGCAATATTAGTATTGCATCATACTTTAGAAAGTGCAAATATTCCCACACTTCCAAGTGAAAAAAAAAAGTATTTTATGCATGAAACACTTGAAGCACCCTATAGCTGTAGTTCATTTCACAGCGGGAAGTAAACACTCGTTTTCTCTCCACCTCACAAAATGAAGAGGTAGTCAGAAAGCATTTTCTTCCTGTCTTCCCCAATAAACTCCACTTCCTCTAATGTTCTGAGAATATTTTCTACTTTAATGGGTATTCACTTTACATGTATTCGAAAATGAGTCAAGGAAGAAAAACTTCCACAGTGACGGGACTGTCCAACTTTTTCCTCTTTTATGATCTGATAATGGAATGGGGGAAAAAAAAGCTATCATGGCTTTTAGGCTTTTTCAGTGTACTGGGCTATGAGCTCACCTGAGAGTCAGCTACAAGTTCCAATCACTTTAAAACAAGAACCACTTTGAATCCTGTGTCCACTACCACGGGGTCCCAGCCCTCAATGTCCCCGACACGTATGCGAGTGCAGGTTGCTTCTTAAAATAAATGCTCAAACTAAAACAGCCAGTTTGTTGAAGAGCAGCATGAGATCCCCAGCACGACCTAAAGGGGTTCTCAGGCACAGAGGAATTAACAGACACATGCAATTAACATCCCAAACAACACAGAGCGTGCGCACCGCGATTTTGATCAGTGCCTAGAGCCCACAGAGGTCTTTCCAGAAACCAGAGTGCCTCGTCTATACAGTCTGTGTATGTGGGGAACAGATTAAAAATGCGTGCTGCTGACATAATGTGGGTCCTCCTGACTTTTGCTGGGGGCTTGTCCATGCTCACTCAGACAGCTGTCCAACGATACTTCAATAGCCACTTCTGTTGTTTCTCGCCTCCCAAGGCCATCACTTGGGTACGTGTCCAGAGGGGGACAGCCGTTGTGCTCCGCACAGCCATTGACGTGGGCCAGAGGCAGGGCCCCGGGGGGGCAGCACAGCTGCTTCTCACAGCCCTTGGAGATGCAGGGGGAGCTGCAGAGCAACAGCAAGTCCTTCTGCTCCACGGGGTCCTTCAAGTCCACTTGCTCAAACTGGATGGTCACGTTGTGGATCCCCACACTGTGGAAGATCTCTCGAATTTTCCTACTGGCGTCCTGATAGTCCCTGTCCTTCTGATACTTGATGTGCAGGGTGGCGATGATCTTTCCGCTTATAAGTTCCCAGATGTGCACTTCATGTACACTGCTAATCCCGGGCACGGCCGAGAGTTTACTCACTACAACGAGGAAGAGCGAACAATTAGCTAAGGCTACTGGAAACAAGGTACCTCTATGGGAGGGACATGGTCCCTGAAGGCATTCTCAACGATGGATTTACAACAATGGGAAGAAAAAGAGCTGTACCAATCTGGGGACATGTTTCCATACTCTTCTTTCTCCTCTCCAAGTCCCTATACCACCCATCATGAACCCATAAAGAGCAATCCAAGAAAATAACTTTAACAACACCCGCCCCCAAATTCCCAAGGTTGTTGAGTTTACAAGGGAACAGACACCCAGGGTGTGTCAGGAGTATAAAGTAGGATGCCGATTTGAAAGGAGAGAACTTGGCAACGTGGCCCGAAAACTTTCACCTGCGTGTCTAGTACTAGGAAGTTAACCTAAAAGGAAATACCCAAAGATTCATGTACAAAAATGGTTTGGGCAATGTTCTTTGTATTAACGAAAAAAAAATGGAAATAAGGAAATAGCTAAATCAATTATATAAAAAGAATATGACAGCCATTAACAAGTAAGTTGCATATTTCAGGATATGAGAAAAGGCACAGAAGGTATCTTTAAGTGAAAAAACAAATAGTTTTACCGTATATACAGCACGATTTTTTTCTTTTTTTTAAAACAAGCATCAGTGTATACACACACACACACACACACACATTTTATACAGATAAAGCTTTGTCTTACTGATGGATTGATTCAAAATTAAAAGTGGTAATTTCTGGGTGACAGGATTATGAGAGATTTCCTTTTTTTTTAATTTAAGTCTTCTATATTTTCCATAGTTTCTCAAATGAGCATGTATTTAGAGTGATGATGCTGAATGATGATTATGAGCAAGGACCCTGTAGCCAACTAGAGTTTGGATCCCAGTTTAGACTGGTCTTGGGTACTTTACCTAGCCTGCAGTGCCTCAGTCTCCTTATCTGTAAATCGGGAATAATAATGATAGTTCCCCATAGGTTTACTTTCAGGATTTAAATGAGTGAATATAAATAAAGCACTGAGAACACTACTAGCATGTAATAAGTGCCAGAGAAGTGTTGCTACTGCCATTATCATCTATTTTTAAATGTGTGTATATAATATAATATATATATCTTACTTTGTTAAAAGGCAAGATAAGCCATTATATATCACAGATTGTTTTGATATGTTTATCTTGTTCCCTCAACTGGGAAACAAGTTTCTGGAAGGTGGAGACAATGCTGTGTATCTGCTCCCAGTATCTCCTTCCCCACCTCCTACCTCCTCTCCCTGCGGCACTGGGCAGACTGCAGGAAATGAAGGCTGATTACTTTACCTCTGTACAGTAAAGCAGCCAGAGCGTTGGCCACACCTAACTGACTCCGAAACCGTAAAGTAAGCAATGCTGCCAAAGATGAGGCTCCAAAACGCAAAAAGAACATCCAGGGGGAAAGACCAGCTGTTAGCAATGGCTGGACCAGCTGGTCCCAGTGTATGCTACTGAACAGGGGGCTGGGAGGGCTATGACCTACACTGACCACCATAAATCACACCCTCCCAGGGGAAAGCCTAGCTGTGGCCACACAATGTATTAAGACCCATTCACACCTCATTTCAGGGATCTGACATGACGTAAGGTCTTCCAACTTTGAGCCTCATAGAGGGCTGGGCTCTATCTGCATGGTTCCTGGCTCACTGGTGAAGCAATGATAGAGTGTAACAGCAAATATGCAAGAAAGCTTTTTTTCTATAAAAACATAATCTCCATTTAGAACCACTAGAAATAAAGGCGCACATTCAGTTTCTTGTCAACATCTGGATAGTTCTCATTTAGAACTCTGCAAAGTCTCCAAAATATGGAGGGACAGAGGCGCCTGACTAAGGTAAGAGTTTGATCTTCTGTTTGAGCAAAGCAAAGGAACAGATTTCATTACTCAATGAGGTCATGAATGATCTGAATTTAAAACACGGTCCTTTTTATGGTATTAGACATGGTGACTTGCGTGCCCATAAAAAAATCAATTAACAAGAAAGCAGGATCTAGAATACAAATCAATGATTCATGTTTTCAGAATAAGGAGAATAAAAATCAAGTTCTTGGCAGGGTAATCTTATTGGAATTAAAATAAATCTTTGACATGAAGGTAAAAGCCGGGAACAGGTACTGCACAAGCATTATATTCTCAAAAATTTGCAGTGGAATCAGTCATGGGTTGCAAAGGACCTTTGGTTCTTGGAGCTGTGAGTCATCCTACTAGGCTACAAAACATACGATAGATGTTTCTTTTGCCAGGTGATTTAAAGTATTTCAGGATACATAAATCAAACACTGCTTTGAAATAGCGCTGGCCCTTTGGCCTGAAGAGCATTAAGCGGGCATGGTTCTAGATAAGAAGCATCTGACTTACTCAGCTCTTCCATGTTAACTCCTTTGGGGACCATCTGCAGCAGAATGGCAGCAGTCTCCTTGATGAGTGGGAAGGCAGATGACAAAATGATGATAACCATGATGATAGTCAGGCTGGGGTCGATGTAGCACTGCCAGTTACATGGGTCCTCAGGTTGCAGGGGACGCACATAAAATATGATGGCCGTGATCACCACCACCACCGACCCCAGGGCGTCGCCCATCACATGCAAAAGTACACCTGCCGGGGAGAAAGAAAGGCCACTAAAGCACAGATCCAAATTTGGGAGCTGGGAACACGCAGTGACCCGGGTTCCCAAGTCTAAGAATATATCAGTTGTTATTTGTTTTCTTTTTGGTTAGGACAGCAGGATGGATTCAAATGAAAAAAAAAAAAAAAAGTCAACTACTTCATAGAAAACAAAGCCCTAGGCCACCATCCCAGAACCCAGAGAACCTGCAACAGCCTCGGAAGATTCTGAGCTCCAGACACGCGTGGGAAGAGGGACCGTGTGGGTTCCTAATGCTACACCACTGCCACCTGCCACTCATCAGAAGACACCAAACCGGAAAAGAGGCTATGCAAATAGTTTCTTATTCTTTGAGACAAATATCTGTGATTTAAATTGTTTTAAGCATTTTGAAGAGGAGAGGGAACTAATAACAAAAGAGCGGTTCTTATTATTCCTTGTCTTCTCTCTTCCTGGATCTGTTTCCCCCTTCCCTACATGCCTCTGCTACTCCCCCCTTAGCCCGAGTCATTCAAACTGGATCTGGTTCAAGACATCCTCGGGAAGAGCCTCCGGCAGCACTGCCACTGAAGAAAGAGCCATTTGTCACAATAAGATTAAAATCAAAGAGACAATAACCCAAACTGTGGCTGCCCTTAATGCAGGGAACCGCTCTTAAGGGTTTTAATTATGATCCAGAAAATATGCAATCCTAACAGAGAAGATCCGGGTGCCCCGGACACCTGGGTGGCTCAGCCGTTGAGCGGCTGCCTTGGGCTCAGGGAGTGATCCCAGGGTCCCGGGATCGAGTCCCATATTGGGCTCCCTGTGAGGAGCCTGCTTCTGCCTCTGCCTGTGTCTCTGTGTCTCTCATGAATAAATAAAGAAAATCTTAAAAAAAAAAAAAAGGATTCATTTTGCCTCTCCAAATATCCCACAGATCCATTCAGTAGAATTAATGATAATCCAAAATTCTAATAGCTCACTCATGGTTACAAGTGAATGGTCTCACCTGGAAAATGCTTTAATGGAGCTAATGCTTCCTCTTGGCAATACTTTTTAGGATTCTGAGTAGCTGAGTAGCATCGGAGACAAAATGGCATTCTGTGGACATACTAAATGCGATTTGTGGCCACCTTGCCCCAAAACAATATAGGAGTAAAATGTATCTCCTTCTGGCTGAGTGTTTAGATACTAGAATAGGATCCTGATTCAATAAATACATTAAACAATTCCATTCTTTCTAATTCTGTGTCCCCTTTCCCCTCACATCCCTGAGAGAGCTTTTTACTCCCCAGGCCCTGTTCTGAGCCATGAATAGAAAGTCCCGAGAGTCGATCCATAAGGAGACTGAAGTTCAGAGACATTAAGTTACTTGTCCAAGGTCACCTAGCTTAGTAAAAGGCAGAGGCTGAACTTGAACTGAGCACTTCTCATCTCACTGTAAGTGTGCACTGGATGGGAATAGGGGCGCGGGTAGGAGAGAGACAGTATAGGTCTCGGAGGAGATGGGGCAACCAAGGAGAAGAGGGCAGAAATGCCTAGAAAGGAGTGCTGACACTGGCACAGCAAGTCCGCGAATGTCAGCAGTGTTAGGACCTTATTCTGGAGGCGGTGAAGATCTCTGAGCAGATTCTGAAGTGATCTGATCACCTTCCTGATTCAGAAAATAAGTCAGGCAACATTACCTGGGAGACAAAGATGGATTGGCAGGCAGCTCAATCATCCATAGTCATATTGCTCCCAAGGTAGCTTTACAATGAATGACAGGACATCTGAACAGCTGGCCCTCACTTCCTGTCTTGAAATTCTTTAAAAAACTCAGAAAAACTGGCTTATAACACGGCAATTTGACATAAGTTGAAATCTGATGTGTCCCAGCATTTGGAAAAGCCATCAGTGTTGTTGAGTTTGTTGGTGAACCAGAAACACAGTGCACTAGCCCTGGGCAATAACAAGTGGTTATGGAAAGATGAGAGATCTTTCTTATTGGAAAAAAACAATCAGAAAGAAGCATCTCCTCCAAAGAGACTTATTTTCAAATGATGTCAGGGTTGTGGTGTATCTATTTATACTTATACTGAAATACAAAAAGTTAATTATCTTTTTGACATGCTGTTGCAACATTTTTTAACGTATCCCTTTTGATCCCATCAAATAAAACCAACCACTACAATTGACGGGAATCTTTAAAGGATTGTGCTTTCACTGTGCTTTGCAGAAGATGGACTGTGTTTCTCAGAAGGCATTTGTTTTATTCCATTGAAATAAGAGAAACACTAATTAAAATCCAGAAATGATTTTTGTTCATGAGAATCCCCATCAGTCGTTTGCTCCGCTGCAGATCTGGGAGGACAGTCGTGCTTTCTAAAGCAACCACTTAAATGGCAAAAGTGTAACCACTCAGTGGACTGTCTACACTGGAGAAACAAACCATCTTTCCTGGAGCGTACAGGCAGTGTCCAAAACTGGGAAGCGGTGGAAATGTGAAGGCAGGTGCCAGACCTGCCTCTGCTGCTAGCCTGGGTGACTTGGGAAGTCACCGGACTCTAGGGACCCTGTTTCCTTGCAAAGGAAACCTTCCCACCCTGCAAAGCGAAGGGGTGGAGTCCATTCCCACTAAGGCCTTTCCAGCTGTAACATCCTGTGGGCCTTCTCTGAATTGTGGCTCGGAGATGAGGACATAGGACCTAAGCTGAGGCCAGCCTCCGCCTTGGCCTGAAAGTGGAAAGGCCACCGAAGCGGAGGCAGCACAGGGTTGAGCCCAGCAACTCCTCTCACTACCTGAGAGACAACAGCTCCCACCCGGTGAGATTCTTACAAATGCTAAGCGACTCACTCATGAATGGTGCCTGGCACAAGCACGCACCCCCTAAACAGGGTAGCTGCTTTCCCTCCCATATCACATCCTTTATCTAACAACCACTCGTGATTTTTCCCCTAGGAGCTCCAACAGCTTTAAAGATTAGCCAGATCATACAAATTTGCCATAAAAAAATGCTTCCCAAACAGGGGAATATGTACTGTACATGATATGTACTGTCTCCCACTCTTCATTCCTCTTAGCATCTTTCCACCTACCTGTTCTCCTTCTCTGCAACATAAGAATGAATAATTAACTGAATGTGCTCTGAAAAGTTAAAATACTATGGAAAATCTATGATATATATATAATATATAGAGTATGTATTTGATACACACTATACATAGCATATACTATATGCATATTTTTATATTGAACCCAAAGAAAGATAAAGGGTAGAGATTTTTCATTTCAGATGTCTCTTTCCTAAAAGATTCACCACCAAGCACTTTAGAAATTCCCCTGTTGCTGTTCAATTTTTAAAAAGTGATTCATGTAGAAATTTTTAGAAGCTCGTGTATGGCTGTTATTGTTGTATTGTTGTTGGGGTTTTTTCTGATTTTCCCCTAGAGATCCATTCCAGGTATCACACTATAGAAAAAGCCAGGAGTCTCTCAAAAATGAAAATGTCTCCCGATTTTTACTTTTTAAAAATATTGTTTCCATTGAAGCCCTATCATAGGCTTCCCCCAAATCCTCTGAAAGTAAAGGGTTGCATAATCTTTATTGAAATCCTCAAAGTCGAGATTGGGGACTGACCCTTCTGGAGTCAATCTGAAGCAAAGCCTCTGCTCAAGAAGTTGGAAGAGATGCTGCATACATACAATATTGGTGTCTAGTGAGAGATGCACCTCTGAACTCCCTGAGCTAACCTTTGCCCAGTGCTGGTGACCTTGAGCACATGGTAGAGAGAAGGCTAGTAATGTGCCTTTCATGTGCCTCACCAGACCCTCCCCTTTGGGCCTGGAAATACGGATTCAAGTAAGTCAAGAGATCCATCACAGACGCAGATTTCTGGCAGAAATACGTTGAGGCCTGAGAGTCAATCAGCAATGTCATGTTGGATAGCAGCCACCTACCCTCTTCTCACCTGTGTCACAATTACATTCAATTAAGACAGGCCTCATTTTACGTTAACAATATCCAGGAGTGGACAAAACCAAGTAAAGTAATAGCATGGGGATCCCTGGGTGGCGCAGCGGTTTGGCGCCTGCCTTTGGCCCAGGGTGCGATCCTGGAGACCCGGGATCGAATCCCACATTGGGCTCCCGGTGCATGGAGCCTGCTTCTCCCTCTGCCTATGTCTCTGCCTCTCTCTCTTTCTCTCTCTGTGACTATCATAAATAAATAAAAATTAAAAATAAATAAAAAATAAATAAAAAAATAAAGTAATAGCATGCCACTGATCTGTGAGGCTCTGAAGCAGGTAGCACTGGCCTGGCTCTAAGTGGAGCAAGGATAAATCATTAGCAACTAGTGTGTCACTCAGAATCAATGCAATGATTAGGCAAGAGGCTAGGGTCATAGTCTATTCGTGCAACCGGCCTCCTTTCTAACACACGTTATTAAAAGGCAAACAGAAAAGGGTACGACACAGTCATTATGTATTACAGAAAAGGGTTTCAAATCGAGCCAAAGTCGACCCTACCTCTGATATTCAGGGCTTCAGACTTTTTCTCCTTTTTCATAGTCTCTTCTGGTTCATTCTGGGTGTTCAGAGAATCACCTGCATTCAAAGAAGAAACCTTGTGTTGTGTATAAGTTCTACAAACAAAAAGAACCAATGGACTCAAAAAAAGTTCCGTTATTTTAAACTCCTAAGCTCCTCAGACCCCCTGCCTCTCCATACGCACACACACACACACACACACACACACACACACACACACGGCCCAGAATAGTACATTTGGGCCTTGACATGAGCCTTGTGAGCCACTTTTACATTCCATTCACACTTCCATCCAAGTTAAAACAAACAAACAAAAAGGAGCAAAGTGGGAGCCCACCCCCATCCCCCAACCCGTTAACTCCCAGGGGAACAAAATGATGTGCAAAGGGGGAGGGAGAAAATAAAATGCAGACAGCATCCAATGAGGGGCTAAGGGTTGGAGGGGGGTGCTATCTGTTGCCCAATAATAACTGATTTTTGAGAAAATGAATGCTCCAAGGCAGACAGAATAATGGGGAAGGGGAAAAGAAGAGGAAGAAAGAAAGAAAGAAAGAAAGAAAGAAAGAAAGAAAGAAAGAAAGAAAGAAAGAAAGAAAGAAGAGGAAGGAAGGAAGAAGAGGAAGGAAGGAAGAGAAGAAAGAAAGAGAAAGAAAGAAACAAAGAAAGAAAAAGGAAGAAAGAGAAAGGAAGGAAGGAAGGAAGGAAGGAAGGAAAGAAAGAAAGAAAGGAAAGAAAGGAAAGAAAGAAAGAAAGAAAGAAAGAAAGAAAGAAAGAAAGAAAGAAAGAAAGAAGAGGCAGGAAGGAAGGAAAGGAAGAAAGAAAGAAAGAAAGAAAGAAAGAAAGAAAGAAAGAAAAGAAAGAGGAAGAAAGAGAAAGGAAGGAAGGAAAAGAAAGAAGAAAGGAAGAGAAAGGAAGGAAGGAAGAGAAAGGAAGAAAAGAAAGAAAGAAAAGAAAAGAAAGAAAAGAAAAGAAAAGAAAGAAAAGAAAAGAAAGAAAAGAAAAGAAAAGAAAAGAAAAGAAAAGAAAAGAAAAGAAAAGAAAGAAAAGAAAAGAAAAGAAAAAGAGAAAGGAAGGAGGGAAGGAAGGAGGTCAGGCCTGAGGACCCAAGAGAAACAAAAGAGACCGTGGGGAAGACGCTACGTTAGCAGCGGAGAATAAAGCTGCAGAAGGCATAGATTCTTTTTTTTTTTTTTTTTTTTTTTAAACAAAATAGAAGCAGCCGCAACGGCCGGAAAGAAAAAGAGGGCGTGGATGCCGAGCACGGGCCGGGCGGGAGGAGGGAAGGGCGGAGAGGCCCAGAGGATGCCACCGAAAGGCACCTGCTACGTTGGAGAACACGGTCGCCCCCTGCTCCTCCTTCCTGCCGGCCGACGGGCGGGCGGGGCCGGGGCCGGGCCGGGGGTCGGGGCCGGGGCCGGGGCCGGAGCGGGGGCCGGGGCCGGAGCGGGGGCCGGGGCCGGGCGCGCCCCGCGGGGCGGCGAGGTCGGCCGGCGGTCCCGGCGGCGGCGGCGGCGGCGGCGGCGGCGGCGGCGGGCGGCGGCGGCGGCGGCGGCGGGGCCCCCAGCAGGCGAGCCAGGCGCCGCAGTCCTGGAAGATGAGCAGCCCCAGCACGTTGACCGCCAGCCCCAGCGCGCCGACCACCAGCACCAGCGCGGGGTCGTCGATGCGCTCGGGCCGCGCCAGGCGCAGCGCGGCCTCCACGGCGATGGTGAAGCAGAGCGCGCTGAGGAACACGGCGTTGCCCAGGGCGCCCAGCACCTCGGCGCGCGCGTAGCCGTAGGTGGCCCCCAGCCCCCCGCCGGGCCGCCGCGCCACGCGGCCCGCGCCCAGCCCCACGCACAGCGACAGCAGGTCCGACAGCATGCTGAACGAGTCGGACAGCAGCGCGATGGAGTTGCCCGCGTAGCCCGCCACCAGCTCGGCCCCGAAGAAGGCGACGGTGAGCACGAGCATGAAGAGCAGCCGGCACGTCTTGCCCGAGTAGCGGCCCATGTCGCGCGCCGCCGGCGGGGGCGCCCCTGCGCGCCGAGCCCCGGCCGCCGCCTTATAAGGCCCGCGCACGTCCAGAGTCCACGGGAGGGGCCGCGGCCGCAGCCTCCGAGGCCCCCCGGCCGCCTCCGAGGCCCGGCAGCCCGGCCCGCGCCCGGCCCGCGCCCGGCCCCGCCCGGCGGGTGGCCGCCGGCCAAGATCTGGCCTCCGAGGACCGCCCCGAGCGGCGGGCGCAGGGGGCGGGTCCGGAGCGGAGCGCCCCCCGCAGACCCGACCCGACCCGACCCCGACCCCGACCCCGACCCCCGCGGCCCCAGCCCCTCCCGTCCCCGGGCCCCGATAAGGCCCCGCAGCGCCGCGGGGCGTGTTCGCCCGGGGGACGCGGACAGCCTGGCCTACGTGCCCGGACGCCGCTCGCCCTGCGGATTCCGCAGCCCCGGGTGGGGCCCGGGCCAACCCCGCCCAAGCTGCAGGGTGCTGGGTGCCGAGCCCTCCCTCGGCATCCCCATCCACCGAAGCCTCCCGCGCACCATCATCATATCATCATCATCATCATCTCATCACATCGCTGTGTCACCCCCCCCCCCCGCGCCCCAGGGCACAGAGCCTTCCCTGGCCCCCGGACCCCTCCCAGCGCCTCCACTCACCAGGCCTCCCTCCGCAGGTGAACTGCAGGCGGAGAGAGCGCGCACATCATACCTTGATAAGCCTGGACTCCCCCCCCACTCCCCCCCAAGCGCTCAGAAATCAGTCCCCCCCACCCCCCCCCCCCACCCCCCCCCCCGCACAAGGGTAGACCCAAGTCACTTGACCACCAAGAAGCCCGGGCGGGCCTCCTCTGTGCCCTGGTCTCGTTTTCCACTGCAGAGAATATTCTCTTCATCCCCCCATGTGTCCCTCACAGCACATGACCTGATACTCAAAGTTCAATCCACTGACCTCCATGAAGGCTTGTGCCAAATAAAGCCTTTCCTGTTGACAACAGGCTCTGTTCCAAGGAAAAGTTATCCAGAAAGAGAGCTGTCCCCAGGACGCCGGGAGAGGCCCAGCGCTGGAAGCCCTTGAAGAAGGGTGTTCGCTGCTGGGTGTTCAGGGAGGCCCCGGTGGGAGAGCCCTTGCTGCTTTCATTCTTGGTTTGTTTTTGTTTTATATTCTGTTCTCGTTCCCCAAAAGGATCTGACTGCGAAGTTGTGATCACTAGTCCCCCTCTCCTGTCCCTAACCCCCAAACTTTAACCATTCCTGAAACACGTGCCAGGTTTGGGCCTGGAAACAAATGCGTCTGTTAGTAGCACACTCCGATTCTCGCCCCATCCGCTGTCTTAGCCTTATAAATGACAATCTTTTGTCTTTTAGGGCTAAGGGACCCCGACAAACGTGCTAAAATATCCTTGACCTGAGGGCCCTCGTTATACAAGATGAGCATCCAAACTCAGGGAACGCGATAGGCGTTCCCTGCCCGCCTCCGGGAGAATGTCCCTACATTGAGAACTTGAGGGAACTGATCCTCTGAAGTGCCTCTGAAAACGAGTATTAAAATAGTCAAATCATTTAAAAGAAACAAAAAGATACAGAGAGGCCGAGGAAAGGTTTGAAGCTGTTTGGCCTTGGACAAGTTCCTTAATTGTCTGGTCTGGCTTTCACTCCTGTAAAAAGAGGAATAATAACAGTGTCTCCTCATAGGTTTGTGAGGATTAAATGGGTTAATATGTGTAAAGTGATTATAACAGTGCTTGGCACATAGTAAGCACTCAACAAGTTGTTTATTTAAAAAATAAATAAATAGGGATCCTGGGTGGCGCAGCGGTTTGGCGCCTGCCTTTGGCCCAGGGCGCGATCCTGGAGAACCGGGATCGAATCATACGTCCGGCTCCCGGTGCATGGAGCCTGCTTCTCCCTCTGCCTGTGTCTCTGCCTCTCTCTCTCTCTCTCTCTCTCTCTCTGTGACTATCATAAATAAATAAAAATTTAAAAAAAAAAATAAAAAATAAAAAATAAAAAATAAATAAATAAATAAATAAATAAATAAATAAATAAATGACAGGAAGGAAAAGAAGGTGTGAGGGGAGGAGGAAGAGACTGGGCAGGAGGAGGCAAAGTGGTCCGGAGGCCCCCATGTTATCATCAGCATGCTAGTATTGATATTAGCACTTGGGCACATGTGTACCAGAATTACTGTTGAACTACAGCTGTCACACTCTGTTGGGGAGAAAGATATCCCAGTTTCTGGCTTATCCTGTCTTCAAACTGTGAAGCCTCTGCAACATGAAACAAAGGACAGCAGGCAAAGCAGTCGAAGCAAGACAAGGGGCCTGGTGGAAACCACTTGGCAGTGCTCACAAGGTCCCTACTGATTGCATTTCTTTGTCATTCACAAATGACAGAAAAACCCAAGGTCAGCAGAAATCTATCACTTGTGCCTGTTACCCAGTCGTCCTCCTAACAGAAGGCAGATAACGAGAATTATGTCACCGCCCCAGGAGGGTGGCTGATGGAACTAGAAGGTTCAGCGTGAGGGGCCCTGCCCAGAGCCTCATTATTTGACTTCCAGACAGGTTGAAGGTATCAACAAAATGCACTTAAGAAAAATGCTTTGGCTAGCTACCCATGACTAGACAGATAGGTAGACCTATAAAGTTTATATATATATAGAGAATATATATAATCTAAGTTAATTGACAAAAATGTAGACTGCCTCTTATGCATTCTTGTAGATGATAAGGTTTTTTTTTTAATAAAGATTTTATTTATTTATTCATGAGAGATACAGAAAGAGAGGCAGAGACACAGGCCGAGGGAGGAGAAGCAGGCTCCATGCATAGGATCCTGATGGGGATTCAGCCCTGGGACTCTGGGTTCAGGCCCTGAGCCAAAGGCAGACGCTCAACCGCTGAGCCCCCCAGGTGTCCCAATGATGAGGTTTCAACAGCTTCTGTCTGTTGGGCTTTGACTGCCCAACCCTGTGCTGAGCACTTTACAGGCACAACCTCATTGTCATCCGCACAGATGACTCATAAAACTAGCTGTGTCTCATACATGAAGAACCTAGAGCCCAGAGATTTTAAGTAACTTGCCCAAGATCACACAATATATAAGGGATAGAATCTGGAGATCTGATCCAGGCATCAAACTCTAGAACTTAACATTCTTCGGCCCCACATTATACGTATTTGATCATTTTCAACACTTCTTTTGTTCTAAACAAATGAAAGGATTCTTTTGAAGCTTACATTATTATTATTATTATTATTATTATTATTATTATTATTATTATTATTGGCATAGACCTTGATGCTCTACAACTTATAGAGATGATAGCACTAAAAGTTCTTCCTACACTGGTATTGACCCAGAAAGTAACAAACTTTTTTTTTTTTTTTAAAGAACTCAAAAATACAGCCTTTTTTGTTTTTGTTTTGTTTTGTTCTAAGTGATCAGAGATGATGCTCCCTTCAAGGAAGAAAATAGACATCTCATCCAAAGCACCAAACTATTTTTCAAAAGAAGAGGTATGCGCAGTCTGGGTGGCTCAGTGGTTTAGTGCTGCCTTCAGCTCAGGTCGTGATCCTGGGGTCCTGGGATCGAGTCTCGTGTCGGGCTCCCTGCGTGGAGCCTGCTTCTCCCTCTGCCTGTGTCTCTGCCTCTCTTTCTCTCATGAATAAATAAAAAAAATCTTAAAAAAAAAAAAAGAAGAAGAAGAGGTAGCTCTTTTTCCCCATAGCTCCTGCCTCCAGATTTTAAATACATCATCAGAATCTGGGTGCTTTTCACCTGTAGCCCAGCTGGAAACCCGCAGAGCCTGATAATATGTGGAGACTTTCCGAAAGGAAATTACTTCTCCAGGTCGCTGAGGCATCTCCCGTCCACACCAGCTCCTTGTTGACAAATTTATATAATGTGTATTTTTGTAACACTTTGTAACACAGATACTTTTTGAACCCCAAAATATGTTTTTTGTCCTTCCATGTTTTTTTAGAGTACATTAAATTCAAGAGATTCTTTACTTGAGATGACTACACATTTTTTTGATGATAGAGGCATGAGGTATAAAAAAATAACACATAAGTAGTGGTCAACTCCCCTCGGAATGGGCTGTTTAGGGCGAGTACTCAGCGGTGTTGTGAGTTGAAGCCCACTTAGAAAGCGGCAGCTCCCACATGAATTTAGAGCTCCGCCCATCAGCCTGCCAAGTGGCACCACCAAGGCTCCTCCAAAATGCCACTTTCTTGTAGCAAAGTGGTAGCTAGGCCAGGAAGTGGTAGGAATGCAAGCCTCATCACAACATCAAATACTACAACTTGCTTATTGAAAAAAAGAAAAAAAACAGACTCTAGATAATATTAATTTTGCACTCACTTTAAGAACACTTGAAAGATTGAATAGCACAGCAGTTCATAATTTGACCTTTGGAATCAGACAGACTTGGAACCAAATCCCAGCCGTCACTTGCTTGCGTGACCTGGGACAAGTTCCTTACAACCTTCTTTTTATACGTGTGTGTGTGTGTGTGTGTGTGTGTGTGTGTGTGTGTGAACTAAGGACCATAATAGTATATATCTCATGGGGTTGTCACGAGGCTTGAGAAAATGTATGCAGATTACCTAGTGGAGTGCCAGGCTCATAAGAAGGGCTCAATAAATGTTAACAAACTTCTATTTTTTATAAACTACGCAGTCTGGGGCACCTGGATGGCTCAGTGGGTTAAGCATCTGCCTTCAGCTCAGGTCACAATCTCAGGGTCCTGGGATGGAGCCCTGCGTCGTCTTCTCTCCTTGATGGAGAGTCTGCTTCTCTCTCTCACTCTGTGCTCTCTTTCTCTCTCTCAAATAAATAAATAAATAAATAAATAAATAAATAAATAAATAACATCTTTTAAAATACTTTTAAATACTTTGTCAATACTTTTAAGTAATCAATCTTGGGCAGCCCTGGTGGCTCAGTGGTTTAGCGCCCCCTTCAGCCCAGGGCGTGATCCTGGAGACCTGGGATTGAGTCCCACATCAGGCTCCCTGCATGGAGCCTTCTTCTCCCTCTGCCTGTGTCTCTGCCTCTCTCTCTCTCATAAATAAATAAAATCTTAAAAATAAAATAAATAAATAAATAAATAAATAAATAATCAATTTGTAGTATTTT